TAAAGCCGTTCTTCCAGCAACAGTGATGCCTCCCCACACCATAACAGAACCACCCCCAAATCGATCATGTCTGATGACGTTAACGTCTTGGAAGCGCTCGTTTCGACGACGCCACACACTCCTACGTCTGTCCAAAAAATCAACAGTGAACCTTGACTCATCTGAAAACATCACATTGCTCCAGCGTCGATTATCCCAGTGTTGACGATCCCTACACCAACGACGTCTTGCCTGAATGTGATGATCTCTCAAACAAGGGATCACGCGAGGACGTCGGGCGCGAAGGTGACCCCTATGCAGTCGATTCCGAATCGTCTGGCCACTCACTCTCACACCAGTGTCTGTTTGAAGACGAGCGCTGATCTGATTTGCTGTGATGACACGATTTCTCAAGGCCAAGGTACGGATAAATCGATCCTGGGCTTGAGTTGTCGACCTTGGTCGACCTGAGCGTGGTCTGTCCTGCACAGATTGTGTATCACGGTATTTGGACCATAGCCTGCTTATGACAGACTGAGAAACATTCATCGTCCGCGCCACAACCGCCTGTGTTGTGCCGATCTGTAGCATGCCAAGGGCACGTAACCTTTCATTTTGGGTAAGCCGACGCATATCAAAATTTGTTTTCTGATCACTAAAACAATTAAACTGATGTTTCCACCCTGGAATTCAATGCCACAATGACTGTAACATTCAAAGTCAGAGTCGTGCAAATCTTGGGTTGGACCCCCATGATGATCCCAAGCATCACCTGCATTCCATGCGGTAGCTATTGGTGCGTTTGGGCGTCACATGTAACTGGAAATGTTTCTTCTGTTAGGTTCTATAGTGACTTTTTTCGTAGTCATTTGCATATTTTAGTATTATGCCCCCAAAATCAAATATCCCCTACTTTTTTTGAATAGTATATTAAATTAAATGGAAAGAACATGTCATAATATTGATTTTAACCTGTATGTTAGGTGCATTTTGTCATTGTATCGTAGAAAATCTCACATAAAACAACAGGATATGTATTTATTGACCTAATCATTTAGTTTTAACAAACAAACCTGTTGTAAGAAGAGACAATTCATATACAGACTAGTCACACTCTATTTTGTAGTCACCTTCATAGATCAATTGACACAGAAAAACAAGCACAAATGTTTAAATAAAGGCTTCTAACATTGCATAAATTGACACAAACAACCATTACCATTTTGAAACAAGACACGCCTTTGTCACTAAGTTAACAAAGTAAAAACAGTTTGGTTTTTTTTACTGAAATGGATATATCTCTGGATTGATACTCCTCCTTCATTATATTATACTGGTAATTTATTTGTAAATTGGGTTATTCAATACAGTTGTGAACAAGCCGTTGGCAGTTGGCGATTGAATGTCATGGCGATACTGGTTATTTAATATTGACTTTGGACTCGTTTTATAAAACATTTGTTTATTTTAGTATAGTTTTGTATTTCCCACAGGTTAGTGAGGACTTTGAAAATTGTTAGATATTGAGCTCATAGTGATAGTGAGTGTCATGTTGGTAAGGCTGTGTCCTCTAGAAAAAATGTGTAAGTCTATGATATGGTTATTGGTTGGAGTTTACTGCCATGAAAACATCAAATTCTTCAAATTGTTTTGATGAAGACATCATATTTTATTTAAGGTGTATTATGCAACAAATAAATCTGCCTATTGCAGGTCTTTTTTTTTTCTGGCTTCAATTATTATGTAATTTATTTTGACATTTATTCACATGACAAGCAAATAATTAACGTGCTATTAATATTAAACATACATTATGCAAGAGCTTAATCTGCCTATGCAAGTCTTTCTTTAGACCTGAAATGTTATCTAAATTATTAATTTGACATTAATTAACTTATCCAGACCATATCAACTCTCAATGTCATCGCTAGCCTGCGATGTTTATTGGATTAGGTTCCGATTTGCTGTTTGACTTACATTCATAATTTAATCATGAAATGGATAATCAAGACTATGTACCGACTTTAGTAATGATGATCGAGGCTAGGCCGAAAATACAATTGCTAAAATCTTGGTTCCGATTAGATCAATTTGACTGAAATTTTCAGCAAATTCCCTTTACATTATCTCATTTTTAACTATTATAGTGATAACTGCCAGCTCTTTATGTAATCTCCCATAATGTATCTTTAAATGGATTTAAGAAAAGATTTAATAATTGAACGTTAAAATGGATAATCATGACTTGATTTATTATCATAGCAATTATGCTTGAGAATGGTTACTATCTATATAAAATCTTTATCTCTTTTAGCATTGTACTCCTAACACTGCTAAATAAGCATATTTATTAGTCTCAAAATTATTATGTTGTTTATGAAGTGTATACCAGGTTTTAATGTTGGATGATAAGACAAACTAATAAAAGTTTGATGGTAACATCTGTTTAACCGGTCGGTATTCGGCCCCCACTGTTATATCTATTGATTTTATTAACGCCCTGTAAACTTATATATTGTAAGTATGTCATGTAAAATATAATTATCTGGTAGATATGGCGGGTTTTACATAAATAGGCAATATGGTAAACCAAAAACTGAATTTACTGTGAGTTATTGAATATTGTGGTATATAATTTTAGACCTATATGGTGCTAGTGCAACTGACAGTATTTGTGAATTTACTTAATATAAATGTTTTATCTCATAGAAATTAGTGATGCTTGATTATATTTTAGTTTTAAAGACCCTGACCGTCATTTTCATTTTTTGGACAATATGTAATTTTTACGGTGGATAATCTCAAGGCTTTATATCAATCGCATGACAAAGAGGTCCATCAAAAGATTTTACTTTAAACAAAATAGGGGCGATGACATGTTGATGTCGTCTGCCGAAGATGGTGGATGTTGGGAAAGTTTCAATTCATTAATATCTTTGTAAATACTGACTGAAAGTGAACCTCTTTTGGATTGATAAACACTAGAAATTTCGCTTTCACAATTATGTAGTTTTGAAGGGATTTGCAATGATCAGCAGCTTTTAGTATAGATTACTTACTTGGTTGATCATTGAAGATATTGCTTGGATTCTGAGTTTTTACTATAGTATCTTCGTGTTTTACAGTTAATCATACTAATCAACTACAAGGGGATATGTCCAGTCACATGATCACTTAAATTAGCTCAGTTCACCCACCATCAAGTACACATTATTAAATTAGTTTCATTTTTCAACAAACAAAAATATTATCGTTGTTATCAATCAACTCTATGAGCTCATTGAGTCAAAGTCATTGACCACCATCTTCTCTTTCATCATACTGTGATTTGTTGTTCAGGAGATGTGATTGTCTTTTACACTTTTATGGTGATTTTAAATTTAACTGTACTAGAAAATTATTTTCTAATACAAGGAAATTGTGGCCTTTGAGTCCAGAAGAAAAAGTTTCTTGATGGAAAAGATTATAATTTGTGATCAGTTTTCTTTATAATTCTAAGTAGTATTAAAGGATTTTGAAAGTTGGATTACCGGTATCAGTGTTTATCATAGCTTAGAGAAATGAGTTTTCTGTCGAGTAAGGTAAGTCATATACATACAAGATAGAAATAATATATCCATGATTTGCCATGAAGTTTTCAAATTTTATTTTTCTTAATAAGTCTGTAGTTTTTCAAGCTGTCCAGAAACATCTCATTAAAAGTGTTTGGTTGTTTAAAATGTCAGATTTTTTGGGGGGTGTTTGAGTGGTCTTTGGTCTGTCAACGGTATGATTGTATTTGGAAAAGGAATGTTATGACATAAAAGGTTCTGATCAATGCTGCAGCATACAATTTTATGATCAATGTTGAGACTTATAATGAATGTTATGATCAAAGTTACAGCGTATAATGTTATGATTAATGTTAGGACATATAATGTTATGATCAATGTTACGACGTATAATGTTACAGTGTGTTATGATCGATGATAACAATTATCCTCGCTGTTTTTTTTTTTTATTTTTAATTTTCTATTAGCAGATCTTTGATAAAAAATATCTACAAGTCTGATGTTTTAAATCAATAAATAATTGCATGAAAAATAACTATCAGACTAGTGATTTACAAAGTACCTGTTTCATATTGATTGAAATAAATTCATTAGTAGTTGTAAGGTTACTGTTCTAGTTCGTCTCTGATTAAAATTAAAGTTTATAGTTATTCAGGCCATGTACATGTACATCATATCAACATAAATAATCAGCCTATAGATTCATGACGTAGCTTTTTTTTTTCCACTTCCATTTTTGTGGTCTGGCTAAGCATACTTGCAAAAGTTTCATTAAACAAATCAATGCTATTGAAAATATGCCCTCATATAGCCGAACGATCCAGCAGTTTTCAAGAAATAGTCTTAAAGATGGTGACTGATAGGCAATTTATAAGCTAAATATTCATAACAAATATCTGTTTTCTTTGAATTCCATTTATACTCTGGTGAAGCATTCTTAAATAAGGTTGATTAAACAAATAAAGGAAAACAAAAATAAGCCTTATTGCCTATAGCCAAACAATCCCATCAGATTTTAAGATTCAATTTTAAAACTGTTAATAATAGGATATTTACACGGTTTCTTTTTACAGTTTGTAATTGAATAGAATTGTAGAGTTACCTAATGTACAGTAGAGTGACCACAATATTCTCTACCATCAAATGTATGTCTATAAAAAAAAAGCCTTGAACAAGAATTTAAAGGTTATGATTGACACATTTAGCCCCAAGTTAAATATTGTTTATCTTTTGACATTGTTTTATCATAATATAGATCGAATAATATCACAGTAAACATATTTATACTTATTGAAAACTGAAAGCACCACAACAAGTAAAATGTTTATAGTTGATCAGCGGAGAAGTTTTTCTATGCCCCGAAATCCTGATAACCAGGTCCAATAAATGTAAAATACTGTCATCACAGTTTATCCTAGTTTTACTAGGTTAATTAAATTCATTATCACAAGTAATTTCCTGTGTTTTCAGGCATGTTCTGAGTTCTATGAATTAGCAGAAGTGAATGGTCGTAGATGGCAGAAGATGTTACAACATGAACACGACCAGAGATTGAAATTGGAGGAAATGGTAGAACAGCTGGCTAAAGATCAGGCCTCGTTAGAAAATAAAGCTAGGAAATCTTTTCACCAACCAACACAAAATCCAGGTAAATTTTGGGGAATACAATAAAAGTTCACTAAGTAAAAAATATTAAAGATGCATTATGTAAGATTTAGACAAAGAGCTAGCTGTTCTTGCTATAATAGTTCAAAAATAGATAATGAAAAATGAATATATTGAAAAGTTCATTCAAAATCATTTTATTTTGAGTGTTTGAACATGTAGTGTAGATTATTTATCACTGTAGCATCATTACTTGACAATCTAGACTCAATTATCCATTTTATCGTAAATCTCTCGGGTGTTCTAATCCATTTAAATTGTGGCCATCCATTGTTCTAGAGAGTTGATCATAGGCTTATCGTGTGAATAAATGTCTAAATAAATAAAGAACTAGCTCTTACATATTAATGCATCTTTAACAATGATCAGCCTATATCTGTTTGATAATATGCTTAATATTACCTAAAAAATGACCATAAATATCATATGAATTTGCGACCCCCTCTTTGTGAAGAAAGAATAAGTTTACAGTTTTAATAAAAGTCACATACCGACTACCTGGGTCCTGTTTCAAAAATCACATCTCACACTGTATGCACATGTAAGACTGTACTTGTAAATCTAGCATTTATTATACAACTTTATTGAATATTTGAGGATTAGCACCATTTAAACCAGTCTTTTGTTTTCACACTAATCTTGGCACACAAGGCAATTAGAATATGTAATGTGCCACTAGTATGAAATACATAATTGTGATAAATTGTTATATAAAATGTTTATTGTGTTGTGTTATAACTTGCTATTATATCATTGTATATATGATATGTATTAGATAATACAGATACATACATCACATCTACAGATTAAATGTTTCATGGTTTCAGTATTTGTGATATATGCTATTAATTAATTCAGTCCCTATAACTAAACTCTTAGTTTTACATTTTGTTAAAATGTCTTCCTGTATTGTCTATGAGTAAGATTTACTTGATTAGTAAAGCCAGGCCCAGACGGGCAACTTTTTCGAGCAACTTTCAGGCAACAGTGAAATCGCTGGTCGTTGAAAGAAAAAATCGCTCGTCCGCGCCAACGGGCAACAATAGTTGCCTGCAGTTGCTTCTCGTTGCCAAATATCAAACATGTTTGATATTCGACAACAGAAAATCGCTCGTCGCCGAGAAATTGTTCATCTGTTGCTTCAAAATTGCTCGTCTTTCGGCGGTAGGCGACAACAGGCAACAAGCAACTGGTTAACTGTCCAATCAGCGAGCGCTCTACTGTCATGTGATACTTCAAGATGGCCATTTTGAATGATCACGTGATATCGGCATTCCAGATACATCCGGGGAAAAATTGCTTCTCGTTGCCAGTCAGCGCACACGGGAGACCTCGAGTTGCCAATTGCTCGGAGTTGCCATTAGTTGCCTATTGCAGCAACAAGCGACGAAAAGTTGACCGTCTGCGCCAAGCTTTAAGTATCATATTTCTATTTCATTTATTATTATTTACCAAACATGGCTGACTGTTTGAGAGACTTTAAACACTTTATTTAATTTTCTTTTTAATATCAAAACCAATTTAGGACTGGAAATCACAAAATTAGTCTTCATATACGAAATTCATATTTTGAAATGGAATTTCACAGAAAACACTTCTTTTACTCATTTTTTTCTCCAAAAATCTGTAAAAACTTCAAAATATCAATCGGGTTCAGACCGGTTGTTTATTTAGCACTTGTTAACAAATATTCAATTCAATGACAATGTCAGTCAGTTATCCTGACATAAACCACAGTGTGTTGTTTTGATGGCCATGTTGAGTAGAATATTTACGTCATCACAATCGTACAAGTTTGTATTCTTACAATACATACGAATATTTTGATTTCTTACAAACTGGAAAGAAGTAAAGTGAAGGTTCAATCGTGACACTTGGTCGCTAGTTGTTAGATACAGTACATGATTTTGTGAGGAAGGTATTCTATAAATAGTGATCATAAAGCGATAATTGAATAGACTGCAAAATGTGTGATTGTTTTATTTGAATTCATAAAATTTTACGTTTAAATTAAAAAGTTACCTGAAATTTTATTAGTATTGTCATTTAAATGTACACCAGTATATAAAATGAGAAAAAAACAGAATTTATGAGTTGTTGAAATACCCAGAATACACAATGTCTCAAAACCAATTCGACATATTTTGAAAATAAAGTCATCAGCACCTAGTATTAATTTTAATATAACTTTGAATTCAGTTTCTGAAATAATTAGTTTTAAAATCTTTATCTCTTGTCCTTAAGAGAGTGAGTAAAAATCGCCTCTTTTACTTTTATATTTTTAAGCCTAAAAAGCATGGTTATAGAGATTGACTGAGAATATTCAATAGTATTGAATGTTTATTTGGTTTATTTCAATTTCTGTTTGATCAACATCAGATCCATGTTTAAAACACAGTCCAGCTTTTATATGAGTCATGTTACTATAAATAGCTGACTGTAGTGGGTAATGATTTCAATATACCATGGTTGTGTGAGTTACGACTTAACAAGTAAATCAATGGTATTATCTATTGCAATCACATAATACCCAGTTTACTGTTCCATGGATATAGATTGAAGAGAATTATTTTATGGAGTAGTTGGGATGTAAAATGTAATATTATTTTGGGTAGGTTGATAAAAATGGTTTTATGATATGTTTCCTATCAGTTGTCATGGTATTATCTATTGGCAAGTAAATATGTAATAAGTTCAGTCTTTCTTAGATTCAAGAGAAATGTATTTTCTGTGAAATTATATGTGTAAAAGCACCATTATTCTTAGGTTGCATATGACAAAAACTAGGTAAGTTTATTTAAAGATGCATTTCTAAATGTTCCTCAGTCGGCAAAAAATAAATTTTGATTTGCCATGAATTAATTACAGAGTTATGTCCGACATAGATTGTAGGCAACATTTGAGATGATTTGGAAATCTATAGGTTAAATAGGTAGTAGCCCACTAATTTTAGTATATAGTGGTCTCAAGCAGTATATTTGAATAATGCGGTTGTATATGTCCATCAGTGTGTCCCTTTGTTAAAAAATCTTCTTAACACTTTATAATAGACTGTAATATATCTTTCTGAAAATTACATTGTTTGTCTATCCTATTAAACGGAAAAACCCTTTTTGGTCAAACCCTTCAGAGTTATTTGCCTTTGTTACAAAATCTTGATGGCACCTTCAAATATCAAAGGCTTCAGTTATAATCCAATTAGTTTGAATTGTTACTTGCTTAGCTCATAACTGCTTGGACAACTTATATTCTGGTGGAAGTTTGTTTTATTGAAACATAATTTTCTTGTTGAAAGGGATAATACCTCTGTAAGTACTACTCCAACCTGAGCATTGCATGCAATTCTCTTAATCATACTAAATTAATGATATTCATGAGACATTGAAAATCATTCTTGTGAATGTCATTTCAATTAGTCAGGTTTATCTGTAAATGGAGTACATATTCATACTATATAGATAGCCAGTGTTAATAAGATATTGGAAATAACTATTGATTTATTCATTACATGTGTTAAGAGTTCAGTCGATTGTAAGAGTGGAGGAAACTTAAAATTATTTAAAAACAGTATAATGAAATATATTAAAGTAGCAATGTTGTTATCAATAGTGCTTTATTATCCTTATATTAAGGTTGACTAGGCTGATCACCATGAGCATTGTATAAAAATATAATATACAATAGCTAATTATAGCTTACTGTATCCTGAAACCTCCCATGTTTCAGAAATTAGTTGGCAACCAAAATAGCATGTTTACATCTAACAAGGAAGGCTATCATGAGATAAGCAAGGGAAAATGTACAGGCGTTAAGCTGTTAGAATACTTCTAAATTAAATTTTTAAAATGCATATACTGATACAGTGGACTCTGTCACTTCCGACATCCTTCGGGATCAATACAATATGCTGGATTATACAAGTTTGGTAGTTTTGCTTTTGCAATTTATATATGTCACTGTATTTGACCCGGAATTGTCACCTAGTCAATTCAGTTAATTTAGTTTATTTACTTTATTTACTTTATTTCCTTTGCTGTTGAGGGAAACTCTATACATTTACATGTTTTGTTTTTTTGTTCACTTTAAGCCTTGGTTATCATCTAAGGGTTTGTGGAATCTGATTACACTGTATAATGAATCTGTATAATGATTTGAGAGTTATTTGAAGCAAACTTTTTCATAGACATATTAGCCCAAATATATCCCCAAATCACAAAGTTTCTACTTGGGAAGGTGTCTTTAAATTGGAACTTTTATTATTAATATACTATTCAAAAAAAGTAGGGGATATTTGATTTTTAAGTGTTATTAAAGTCACCTAATGAAACTGACGAAGAAACAAATGACAAAATGAAATGAAGTTCACATTCATCGATTTATTCCAAATGATCGTTAGACTAAGTAAGGCACAGACTGACCATTATAAGGGTAAAATGATACCCGGGGTCAAACAGCAAAGTTACCACAGCATCACAACCAAGTCAGTAACGGGTAAATCCTCCTCTGTTTGCCAAACAAGCATTGATCCGATGTGGCATACTCCTAATGAGACGTCTAAGGTCATTTTGGTCCAGATTGTCCCATTCCTGTTGCAACGCAGCAGCAAGTTCTTGGACATTGGCAGGACGTTGTTGACGTTGACGTAACCTCTGTCCAAGCATGTCCCAGACATGCTCGATGGGGGAGAGGTCGGGACTCAGTGCTGGCCAAGGTAATGTGGTGATGTTCTGTTGTTGGAGGTAACCTGTAACGATCCTGGTACTGTGACATCTTGCGTTGTCATCCTGGAAGATGAAACGGCGGCCATGACGTCGTGCGAACGGCACAACATGGACTGCCAAGATGTTGTCCCGGTAGTACTGGCCTGTAACACGCCCTGCAACAACATGTAAAGCCGTTCTTCCAGCAACAGTGATGCCTCCCCACACCATAACAGAACCACCCCCAAATCGATCATGTCTGATGACGTTAACGTCTTGGAAG